ATATTTCTTTTACACTGATTATTTTTTTTTGTATTGAATAATATAAAAAGCCGTCTTTATGTCGACATGAGAGAGATCCTTTTCATGCGTAAAATTCTAATTTATATATACATATATAAAAAAAAACAAGTCATCACTATGTTCTCAAAAATAAAACATCAAAGTCAATCTTCTTATTATGCACATGTGTCAATCGGCTTGTCCAAGCGTAACGGTGTTACGTTTTTGACATACTATTTTCAAATTATCTCGAGAACTTTAGGAGCTAGAAAGTTCGTTCAAGCGCCTTTAGAGGCAGTTCGTGATGCTCTATTCATGCTATAAAAATGAGTAGTTTCTGTCGAACTCTCAAGTCTCTGGAAAGATTTTTTGATCGCGTAACGGTGTTACATAAAAGGACCCCAAATTTGAAATGTTTGTCCTTAAGCCGTGATTTCCTGCGAAAGTCGCAGTCCAAATAAAATGTCGGAAGGGCAAATTTTGTAGAGTTTTTAATGGGCTTCACAATCGCAAAAAATAAATTTGTCCTAACTTCTTTTCTTTACGTAAAAACTGCAAAAAACAAACGTAACGGTGTTACACTGTTTTTTGTCAATACATTTTGGACCACTTAACATGCTCAGATCGATTTGATTTTCACAACCATTGGTCTTTTCTCTACATACAACCACTGTACAAAAAATCAGCTTACTACATCAAAGCGGAAGCTCGTTACTAGTACGGGAAGTTAAAACCTCTACAACAATGTAAAAGTTGCCTTGAGGAGTAAAAGTTAAAAATAAAAAGGCTATTTTGTAGAGAATTAAATTCTGTATCGAATGGTATGATAGTCAGTATTTTTCAAAAAACTTTCTCCATTAAAAAATTCAAAATACGATTTTTGAAAAGTTTAAAGCCCGATTTTGGCGTTCAAAATACAATTATTTTCAAGAAAAAATGTTAAATTCGTAATCAGCGTAAAAAACTACATCTGATGATATATCGAGATCGGCCCATCTTTAAAAAAAAATTTTCAAAAACTTGATCAGCGAAATGTCACGTTACGTGGACAAGCCGTAGAACTGCAAATAGATTCTCTACTGTCCATATAATTTATCATATAGTTTAACTTTGACAAATAAATTATTCGAGAAATATTTTCTTATCATTCAATACCTGACTTCTTCATTTAATAATTTTTTGTAATACCTACAATAGTCATAGAGTATCGAGTCTTTAATACAAAATTAAAATGATACAATTACTAACATTGATCAACATGTCAACAAATTGTGTCAAGAATTAATTGAAGACGACGATCGAGAACAATAGATTAATATACTCTACAAGTCTTACAAGAAAATATTTCTCTTAGCTTAATGTATTCTTCTGAAATGTTTATTTTTTTTTTGCTTCCTCTAATAGAGTCAAATTCATTCGAAATTTCTAACTATTGATTTAATATTAAATTCAAAAACTTCTAGGAGACAAAATTAATAATAGATGATTTGATACTATAATACTCATTGTTTTCTTAAATCATATATTATCTTTAATGATGTTTCTTATATCGTTATATAAACGTTGTCTCCTTTTAAATGTATTTATATTTTTAGTAATCGATTTTCCGTCATGCAACTGATTTATTACTTTATCCAAACTCGACATGATAAAAATATTTTATCGCATTTTCGATAATCATTAATGTATTAGAAATCTGATTAATTTTGACAATAAATGTATGTAATTGACTAAGATGTCCATCAAGTAAACAAAGACAATCATCAAAATTATGCAATCTAACATTCAAGTGAATAATATTTTGTAGATGATAACTCAATGAGCGGTTTTGATAAATGCCGACAAAAGTCTTCTGGATGGAAATGGAGATAAGTCAAATTCGTAAATTTTATTAAAGTAGTGGTGAAAACTTTTATAAATAATTTCTTGATATGTTCACCTGTACTGTCATCATTAACCGTAACAGTAAGATTTGAAATTTGTTTTTTAATGATATGAATTAATGATGATTTATCTAAATATATCCAATAAATTAGTCGACTTTGGTTTATTTATTTTGAAAAATGAGAAAAATATGACATACTATTGAAAATAAGAAATGCCATTTCAAATTGAAGATTAAGAAGTGTAAGTTTACGGAGTTTAGAATAATTTCCAATGCATTAAGGGTAAGACATTCAATATTGTGTTGAATTCGAGGTAATATATCAAAACAAAATCGATCAACTATTGATTTCTTTCTTGAAATATTATGTTCATTTGATGATATTCTTACTAAATCAACATATATTATGTAAAAGTAATGTCGCGTGTCAATCTATCAAGTTTTGTATTAGCTCCTAAAACTGCGTATAATACATCCATTTTATCAAGTTTGTTCAAAATCTTGAGCAATGTCTCATCGCATAGACTAAGAATATTAATAGTTGAATCGTTCATGTTCAATTATCAACGACACATATTGAGAATACAATCTTATATATACTAATGTTTATGTTCGTTCTATATCATATCTGACGTCATAAACAATGGCAATATTAACCCTGATACGCCCATCTACGAGATTATCACTTGTTGCCCACCTGAATTCCAAGTGGATCCCAGCCTAATCAAATAGAAACAATGCACTATATTACCACTATCTTGTCATAGAACTGTAATAGCTCTGGAGGAGACTTGAGCGTAAGAAGAACAAACAGGACAGTAGTTAATTTGAATAGTATTTATTCAATTTTGTATATATTCTTATCATCTCTTAATCTCTAAATGTTTGAGATAAGCTATTGCGTATGAAACATTCACACGTATTCTAAGAAAAATGTTTGTTTTACCAATGATTTTCTTATAATAAACCAATGTTTTAGAAAAGAAATGTTTCTACGTACTTTGCTCTCTACTAACACTTTCGGGTTGACAAAAAAAGAATATTACCGGAGTGTTTCAATAGGATTTCCTTCTCATTAGAACTGAGATTTCAGCAAAATGCAACATAGCTTGAAACTTATCATTCTTAAAGCAACGTTGTTTTTCTATAGCGCCGGTGTAACTAATTACTGTTACCGACGTACTTCGCTAGATATAAAAAGAGCCTCGCTGGGGTTTGCGTGGACTGCAGGTAGGCAATAAGCATTTATATCCACTTCAAGATAGTTTATTACGTAAACAATAAGTGATGATGAACGGCTGACATCAGTGGTATATTGTACTACTCTTCATTGAAACATATCTAGATAGGTCTGATTTGATCTGTTTTTGTGTGCATATAACATTAAAATAAAATCTGTTGGAATCCAAGCAGACCACAGGTGAGCGTATCAGGGTTAAGTGCAGAAAAGGCATCGGAAGTTCAATGACTCAAAAACCCACGAAAAATGACGCTCTAACTATATAAGTGTTTGCATATAAAATAAACACAAAGCTTATTTTAAAAAAAGGTTCTTTAGTGCCCTGCGTCTTGATACGCTCTTTAAAATAAAAAAAAATGAAAGATATAGAATGAATATGGACAGAGTAAGTTCGGCTGTGCGATTGAAAAAGCATGATCTCAGAAAAAACGACAAATATTTTCTATTTTATCTGAAAAATGCTTATTTTTCAAAGAAAATCGTCAAAAATTTTTGGAAAAAGGATGTGTGAAATAAAAAATAATACTATTTCTAAAAGACCAGATCTCAAGCGATCTTTCTATGCATTTATCTCAATTTTGGATTTTCTGACGAAAACTGGCTTTTGTTTAGGGGAGACGTTAAGAGATAAAACAAATGTTTCAGCGAAGAGAGAAATATTGACTGCGACTATTATTCGTCTCCAATACATACAAATATTTTTCTTCATTATCAAGTGCCGAACCAGATACTACATTCATCAGATACGACATGTACATTAATATTTCACTTCCTGCGATAATAATAGCAAATGTTGCATTGATTTGCCATTTTTGAATTCTCTTATTAAAACAATCAGCAATGTAAAGTGAACCCTCTAGTCCTCAAAGAAATATATCAGTTGGATGATCGAATTGATTAGCAGCAGAACCTTGTCCATTTCCACAGCGACAGTTACTCTTATGCCTGAACCATTCAAAGAAAATCTTTGTATATGATGATTAAATCGCTTTGCTACATATGTGAATGAATTAGTTTCATTCAAAATAAGACCAAACGAAAATTTTAATGATTGACTACCACTACCTACCTGGTGATTCTGACGATGATCCAACTGCAATCATAACTAAAAATATAAACATTTCCTACAGAGTCAACAACGATTCATTTGGGAGAGTGTAGTGTATACATTGAACAGTTTTCATATATTATTCCACTAGGTGAAACAGTTTTATTCGTTAGCCATATGTACTCCAATGTCACATATCCCAAAATTTCGAGATGTGTCATGTCTCTCGCGGGAAACGAACTCATTTGGTGTGAGAGATGAGGGTGCATCTAACAAATCCTGGATATGTGACACTATAAATCCATCAAAAAATGCACAAATTATTGTGATATATTATTTTCATTTCTAATATAACTTTATTTCTTTTTATTCTTAGAATAAATGTAATTGGTCTCAATCTGGTAAAGATAAACAAAATGATTGAAATCCTTATTTGATTTTATTAGACGAAAATCGTCCGCTGTACGAAAGTAAAAATGATTCAAAACGAGGACGAAATCAAGATAGTGGTGGTCGTTCAATAATATTTAATTCTCCTTCAACATCTAGTGGTACATCTCATCGTACATCACCTAATACGTCAAATACAAGTAGCTAAGATTCTGCTAATAAAAAAAAACAGTTAGAAAGGGTGGGTGTGGGGTGTGAGTGTGCATGGGAGTGTTCTCTTCACGCACTAACACCCACACCCAAATGCTTTGACTAACTCCGAGTTGAGATTTCCTCGTGAAAAGGTCGATCGATGGCAAGTTTACGCAGGACAACAGATGAATTTA